TCACTTACTGTTCCGTTCACTAAAAAAGTCTTTGCACTGAGGACAGTGGACACAATACCTGCACAAATATTTATTTTTTTATTACATTTTGTTTTTACTACCGGTATATTTGATGTTAAATATTTGATCATTTTTGCATTGTGTATATATTTGTGTTGTATTGTGTATATGCCTTTAACCCCTCGGGGTATAAATGTGCATTTCATTAATAAATATAATAAATATAAAAAAGTGTGTTTTATTATAACAAATATGTGATTAGAAGTAATACAGGAAATGCAATATATTTGAAACAACGTCGTGAAAGGTGAACCAAATATTATATTATCGTTGTTGATGATGGGAAATGCAGTTTGGTTAAGCTTGTGAAGGTTTAATATCAGAACGTCCAATGTAAATAACAGATAAAATACCCGACTAAAATCAGTGACATAACAATGAGATAACACTGATGGATATCAAATGAGAATTATAAGTGCATACTTAGCTTGGATTAGATACAAATGTACTGACTTCAAATCCTTTTAAAAGTAAATGCAAGGTAAGAACATTGCTTCACACAAAAGATTTCATATCAAGAGAGTAAAAACATACCCGCAAGTAATTGCAAAAAAAAATTTCATTTTTCGAAAAAATAAGACTGTCATCAAATTTAAGTTCAAAATCTGAAAATATGTATACATGTATATTATCGCATGTTTTTGACATTCGACAGTAGATACTATTGGGTTATGCATTAAAATTGAGAGCTATTGTCCCAAATAGGATATCTTATTCCACGAGCTTGAGTGTGCAATATGATATACTGTGAGGGCCAAAAGTCATCAGTAAAAGTGCACAAACTATTTTATAATATCGTACTAAACATTTGAGCAACATTGATAACATTTCGTCCAATTCCCGCAGTTATCTGCGGAAGGGAAGCAATGTTATTTTCCGACATCTCGTTTATCTCTCGTTTGCTTGCTTGTAAATGTCGTTTTTATCGGAACCTCTTTTGCATTGAACATGTTGAAAATTAAAGAATGCAATGTCGGCCAAGATGCAATAGTTTCTACCAAATCAGAAAAGCTCTACTTTGCAGGTATTTTTATTAAGTAAAAATATCGGCAAATATTTTTATTTTACAAAGAAATCTACATGAAATAGTTGATACTGTTTATATGAAAATAAGGAGATGAAGTATGATTGCTAATGAAACAACTATCCACCAAAGTTCAAATAAAGTATATTTAAGCAATTATAGGCAACCGTACGGCCTTCAATAAAGAGAAAAACCCATACCGTATACATGGTATAGTCGGCTGTAAAAGGCCCCGACTAGAAAATATGAAAATATTCAATTAAGAAAAACTAAAGTCCTAATTTATAACAAAACAAATATGACAGAGGAACCAAAAACCACTGACCTACAGGCTCCTGACTTGGGACAGCCACATGAATGTGAAATGTGGCGGGGTTAGATATGTTTGCGAGCGCCCAACCCTCCCCTAACCTGGGACAGTGGTGTAACAGCACAACATAAGAATAAACTATAAATAGCATTTGACAAAGGCTTAACTCATCAGATCGATACAAAGCAGAAAAAAACCACACACTTAGACTGGACGTGGCAGGAGATTAATTTAGGGGGGCTAGGATGACATTTGAAAAAAATAGGCAGGACAGGAGTTTTGAGTAAAAAAAAAGGCAGGATGAGATTATTTGCAAAAAAAAAGGCAGGATGACAATTTATGCAAAAAAAAAGTCAGGATAAACTAAAAAAAAAAAAGGCAGGACCGAATAGAGTGAAAAATAAAAAGGCAGGAGCGAATAGAGGGAAAAATAAAAAGGCAGGACAGAATTTTTCATGCTAGCCCCCCCATAAAAATCAAATGGTAGCTCCCTAAACACAAATAGCGTTGGCGGTAAATCGATGAAATGCATGGGATCAATTGATAATATACCACTATGTGTATCCTTGCATCCCTATTGGGTCAATGACATATTCATTTACTAAGACATAGCTTAGCTACAATATATTGAACTTATATAACGTACCATTTCATTATGCATCACATCACCTATGATAGTGATAATAAGGTATACTGAAATAGGTCAAAATCTAGAACGTTATATCTGATAACAACACCTTATTTCCTATTTATGTGTGTTAAACGTTGCTTTCTATCGTGACATTTCTGACCTATTCTGGATTCTCATTAAGGTTGGTGTAAGTACGGATTATTTTTTATTACCCTATCCCATGGTACTTGTCAAATAGATATAAGAAGATGTGGTATGAGTGCCAATGAGACAACTCTCCATCCAAGTCAAAATTTATAAAAGTAAACCATTATAGGTCACAGTACGGTCTTCAACACGGAGCCTTGGCTCACACCGAACAGTAAGCTATAAAGGGCCCCAAAAAATGTCTAGTGTAAAACCATTCAAACGAGAAAACCAACGGTCTAATCTATATAAAAAACGAGAAACACTTATGAACCACATCAACAAACGACAACTACTGAACATCAGATTCCTGACTTAGGACAGGTGCAAACAAATGCAGCGGGTTTAAACGTTTTAATGGTACCAAACCTTCACCCTTTTTCTGAAACAAAAGTGTAACATCACAACATAGAAAGAAACACTATAAACTATCAACTGAAATAGCTTAACTCAATCAAAGGACATATTAACACCATTAAACATACACTGAAAAAATAAATTTGACCTATGACACAATGTAAAAAAATACAAAAAAAAAAAAAAAAAAAAAAATAAACTAGGGGAAGAATAATAAAAGTAACATGTTATATCGGTAAGAAATGTTAAACAATTAAAGAAAAACAATATGCTCGAACAAAAATACCATCCAATTGCAATAACTTTAAACACAGGTAAATGAAAATAATTTTGTTGTTAGGTATACCTGTACAGTACCAATAGAGAAAGGAAATATTTTTACAAAATAAATAATTTTGAATACAAAATAAATAAACTAAGGGAAGAATAATAGAAGTTACATGTTATATCGGTAAGAAATGTTAAACAATTAAAGAAAAACAATATGCTCGAACAAAAACACCATCCATTTGCAATAACTTTAAACACAGGTAAATGAAAATAATTTTGTTGTTAGGTATACGTGTACAGTACCAATAGAGAAAGGAAATATTATTACAAAATAAATAATTTTGATGTTCATAGTACGAAGTGAAAATTTATAGTTATACCAAACACTTATCAAAGCTGGTATATAGACCAGATATAACCCTGAATAACATTAAATAACAAAAAAGCAATACAATTAGTATCAACAGGTCAAATAAACAAGAAAGTACGATTTGAGAGTACTCGCAGTTACTGACAGCTAGTTAAAAGCCAAAACAATTAATAATAAAAAAACATGTTTTCCTTCCTAACGAAGTTGTTTCATTATTTGTGCGCTTTTCTAAATGTGTCTGTTTCGCTAACGTCATGATACTTTATGTCACATGACAAGACCTTTTTATATTTATTCAATTTCAAGATATCTTATAAAGTAAAAATAAGATATCTTATAGAATTAATACATGATAAATTAGCTTATATATTGCAAGTGATTTGAGAACTACAGTTTCACTGATCAAGGAAAGGTTTCCGATCTTCTACACTTCAATATTTGATTCCATTATTCTATAAATGTATCTAATTTAGAGCAAATCATTTCTTTAAAAGCATCAAATTTTAAACCTAAGGTTTAAAAGTCATCTGTCTGTTTCAATTGGGAGGGAATCAGCTTTGTTGAGCTTTTTACTTGCAGTCCCATCATGTTGTTTCGGTTTTAGACAAAAATACGTTTAACCGAGAACACTTCTCAAAATCATTAAAGGAATTCAATAAAACGTGCATAGAAAATACATTTTTCTAAAAACAAATCAAATTATCAGATAACTGTAAAAGTTGTATTTCAGTGTCCAAAATATCTATGCCAGATACCAGATTGTTCTTATGCTTTTTGAATAAATTTCCATTCGAAGGTTCAAACGCTTTTTTAAAAAATCGAATAGTAGCATAAGACCTGGACACTTTTTTTTAATGTAGTGAATAATATGATATCAGCAATTAGTCGTTGATTTTCACCAATTTATATACCAGCCACAGATACCGTCTGGTCCGAATCTATAACGTTAGGAAGAAAAAAAATTCTTTCCGCAATAAGTTTGGCTAATAATTTGAAATCAAAATTCAAGAGGGAAAGAGGACGCCCGTTCGACCTCTGTCTTAATAATTCTTTGGGATAAGAGTCCGTATACCCCGTGTTTTAAGAGGCTTCCGGTTTCGAGGGAATGTTCATAGATTTTTATAGTATATATTTTTTTTTAAATCCATCCAGAAAACAATTATACAACTCTGTAGTTAGCCCGTCTGTACCATGGCTTTTATTATTTTTAAATGATTTCAAAACTTTTACGCACTCAGAATAAAAATTCTGATTCGAAAAGTTAAAATCACCCGAATAGTTATCCGGGTCTTGTGTTGACGAGTAAATTTTTTCATATAAACTTCTCTCTTCGTTTATTTTTTTCTTTCTTGTGACGTAATTTCAATGTCGTTCAGAATTAATTTGTTGGTAATTTTCCTTTCATAATTGCGTTTTTCTAATGAAAAAATATATTTTGGATTCTTTGCATTGTCTTCGCAGTGCTCGGCATGGGATCGTATACTTTTTTGTTTTCCTTTAACTCATAGTCTGTTCAGATGTTAAACAAAATCGCAACACCTCTAGAAATAGTGTCCCCGTACGAAACAATAAATATTTCCACCCCATTCTCTTTCCATACAGTTCTGTACAGTTTCATAAGATGCAATATGTGTGTTTCTTGCAAGAAAAGATGTCGCTTTGAAATATTTTTCATCCACAGAAACGTTTCATTGGTTTACGTTTAAATTTGTTCCCAGCATGAATGTTGTCAAACAATCTGAACAGCAAGTTGATGATATTTCAAAATTATCGAAATTGAATTTGATTGCAGGATTACATTACTCAAACTATGGCATTGGGTATAGAAAAAATGAAGAAAATTATAGAGAACTTGAAACCTGTTCCCTTACCGGAGCATGATGGAGTTTGTTATCCATCATTCATTACATTCAGAGAGAAAGGAGCAGCACAAACTTTACAAGATAACACTAATTTCCAGTCAAGAGAAACAGATATAATGATATGCACGTACCCAAAATCAGGTATGTATCAGTCATTTTGCATAAACTGTAAACACATGATAAAAAATTAATTCAAGTCATTTGAGTTTAAATTCATGTTATTCAGACCCAAAAAGCATTGTGTGCATTATCTACTGTTTGTGAATTTTCAATCAACGGCATACAAATGATTAAAGAGTTTAAAGGGTATGACGTAATGTAGACACCAGAGTCTTGACATTCATGCATATCAAAAACAGGATCTTGACAGTTACCCGTCGTATACCACGACATTGTAGTGTAAAATCATTAAAGTCAACCACATTTCAACACGATATTGAAATATTAGCTTAAAGATCCTTACTAATGATGAATTATTATTGACGAATAAATTATAACCGCTATTTAAATAGACAGGACATTGAACATTAATTAAAATATACATCCCGTAAACTTGTTCCCACATTTTATGGACAATACTTCAAAATATGTCGATTATTACATTTTATTAAACTTCATTGTCAAAATTTTAATGATGTGAGCTGAAATGGAAACATATCAATGATACATGATACTTTAAACAAATGATTGTATTGACTAAATTAAACGTTTAATAACCCCTCCTTGTTAACCTCTAGTGAACACAGAAACAAATTAATCTCGCGAAAAAGTGCGCTTGACATCCGATACTCCAAACCATGCAGTGCTATGGCCAATAACACTGTCACAATTACTTGATGATAGCCATTTATGCTGTTGACTACCTTTCTGCTTATATTTGACTTACTGCAAAGTCGTAGTAATTAATTAAAAAACTCAGCGTGGATAAAGCTTTTATCCAGAACACGTGCTATACCCATGAACAATTTGAAATAGGTTTATACTACTTTTGGTAAGCTGCAATTATCAACGGTTAAAATTATCATTTAGATTCAAAAGATATATTTCCCCCTTAATTTTGTATGCACTGTCCAGTTTTATACTAACGTAATACTATATTATATATAACGATTTTGATAATCATTTTCGTAGGATCACATTGGATCAACGAAATTACCAATATGTTAATCCGAAAAAAAGCAGAACTCGATAATTTAACCAAAGCTTCGACGATGCTGGAAACCATTTCCGATTTTTCCGTCACGGATATCCTTCCATCGCCTAGACTTCTCAACACTCATTGTCAGTTTCAGTATCTACCGAAGAAACACATTGAAAATAGAAGCAAGATAATTCACTTGATTAGAAATCCGAAAGACACTTGTGTATCGTATTATCATCATTCCAGGAAGGAACATATATTTCTCAGCTTTTTTGGAACTTGGAATGAGTTTTTCGACATGTGGATGTCAGGAAAATGTAAGTTATTGATATATTAATAAAATGAATATAAATTGTATATGCAAATATGTTAAGCAGCAATAGCTGCATGATCGAGAATGAACAAAATGGACATACAGTTTAAATCTCAATAGGAAGGATGACTTGCCATATTCTGTATGTACTGCAGGAGGTCGGTAGTTCATTATACTTTACTCTGGCTTCCTCACTCTATACAAATTGGCCGCCACGGGTAGCCAATTAGTCAGCACTTCTGTGTTGGCATTGCTAGACATTGATATGGTCATATTTATAAGTTAACTATCAACAAAACTTCGAAATTTCTGAAATCCTAAAAAAAATTCTACCCCATGAATAGATTACCTTAGATGTATTTGGAAAAACGTTTCGGAATTTTGGCCGTAAACGCTCTTCAATTTCCAAATTTTATTGGTCTTTCAAACACATCTGATAGGAGCCTCGCGTATGAGTCTTTTGTAAACGAAACGCCCGTCTGGCGTACAAAATTTAAATCCAGGTATCTATGATGAGTTTTTCTTACATATAGTAGCATAATACACAATTAAACAAACATAGTATATACCAAGTCCTGAATCTCGACAGTGGTTTTCGTATATTATATCTTAATGTTTCAAGCTTATTGTGAGAATTTAGTGATGATGGTAGATCTGTGATACACGTGGGCCTAACTTAATTCAATTTCAACTTGGTAGACTCGGAGATATTTAGATATGACTAAATTGTCGGTGTTTACCCCATTACTCCTTTTGTCCTGCAATAAGTCAACTACTTTACAAATAACCGGTACACAAATAAAACTTTGCTTTACGTATACTTGTACAATTAAAATCTCAAGGTTCACTTGGATTGACTAATACAAATAATTTTTTGTAGCTTCATACGGATAAAAATGATAAATGTATATGGATTGACTAATACAACTAATAGTTTGTAGGTGCTTATGGATCATGGTACACTTATGAAAAGGAAATTGAACAAGCAGAGAAAGATTTCCCTGGAATGATCTTCACTTGCTCTTATGAGGAAATAAAAAAGGTTTTTTGATTGTATACTTTCTAAGTAATCTAATTATCGATATCTCCAATCCGATAGGAGCTTTTTATTCTTAACTTGTGCTATATTACATGCAAGTTGTCGACAAATGTAAGCTGTATCTACACTTATGGTTAAAATTTAATGTAGTTTTTTTTAAAGAACGCACGATTATTTGTTGTTCGTTAGTTAAGGAAGAAAGTAGTGAAAACAGTAAATACCCCCCTCCCCCCCTTTTTCATTCGCTATGACAAAACATTCACTTTGTGTTTCTATATAGTAATTTATGATATACATGTAACAATTCAGCTTCATAAGGACGATGTCTACGTAATAGGACGGTACTTTATATTTTGTATGTATTACGAACACTTTGAGCTGGATATGAATTCTAAAAAAAAAAAAACACCTCATGCTATATAACTCATGCTGTGCAGATTTCCATTGTCATGCTGAAAATGATAGGGGTCAGTCTGGCTAAGTAAATGCACACATCAACATATCAAATTTCATATACAGTCATATTGATGTACATTTAAAACATTTCATATGATTATATATACAAGTGCTTTTGTCATGTTTGTATCGGGATTGTTTTCTTACTTCAATGTTAATCAGATTTCAAAATGTATTTTATTGGAAAATAAAGGACCCAAAAGCAGAGATAAGGAAGCTAGCCGATTTCCTAGAAGTACAATGCACAGATACACTTATAGAAGACATTGCAAAAGCAACATCATTTGAGAACATGAAAGAAAATAAGGTAGATTTATCGAAAGCAGCGGACGGAATAACACACATATATAGAAAAGGTAATCTACTTCTTTTTTCTTAACGGAAACTAAAACATATTTGTCAGAAACGGATGTTTTGATTGGCGCTTGCAAACTCCGAAACAGCGGCGACGTTGCTTCGCTAAAATTATATAAGCCATAGTTTCGCAGAAAAGTCGACGCAATCACAGTTTCGGAATATGCAAAACGTTGTGTCTGCTCCAATTCTAAATCAACTGTATGTTTATATATCATTTGATGAATGAAATGGATTTGTTAATTCAGCAATCGAACTTACAAGCACCAAGGTATACCTCTGCAATAAGCATTAAAGTAAATTTCGTTGCTGACATTTGTTTCATCCGTAAAATTGTCCCGTTATGCACGCAAAATCATAAAGTCAGGTCTTCTTTTACTACATTTCAACAATAATAATAATAATATCTTTATTCAGAGAGAGTAACTCATTTGGATTACACCAATTTTCAATAAGGCTCTCTTAATACAATAATAATTACATTAAAAATAAACAGTACATATTCAATAATAATGATAAATAAAGATGTAATACAATTTAAATACAATAAACAATTATTATATATTGCATTACAGTACAAATATCATGGTTATGTTAAAAGTACATAGATTTGTAGTTATGTTTAAATTCTGATACTGTGTTTGATTTTTTAATTGAATTAGGAAGAGCATTCCATACTTTTGGTCCATTGTACGAGAAACTAGACTTATACAACTCTGTATTTGGTTTTGGAATTATAAAATTATCTGAGGACGAAAATCTCGTATTTTATTTTGGGTTTTTCAGAAGCTGATAAAATAAGACTGGACATATATTCTGGACCTAAGCCATGTTTTGCCTTATACATTAGTAATGATTTATGATAATGTATTCTTTGTGTAATCGGCACAATGTTACATTCGTGAAATAATTCGCTTGAAGGTTTGGTGTAATCATGTTCGTCTAAAATTATTCTTGCTGCTCTCTTTTGCAGTTTTAGTAAACTATCTAATAGAAAGTTATTACAGTTTCCCCATATTGAACAACAATAATCTAAGTGAGGTAAAACGTAAGCGTTATATAACATTTGTCTAGCTTTGTGATTTAAATATTTCTTTATCCTTTTTAGTAAAGCTAAAGAAGAGTTAACCCTTTTTATGATATAATCAATATGAGAAGACCAGGACAGAGATGCATCAACAAAAATACCTAGAACCTTTTCACATGTACTTTCTTTAATTTGTTGTCCATTCATAGCAATATTAATGTTTTCATTTGATGTAACTGAAAGCTTCTGTTTAGAGCCAATACATATAGCCTTCGTTTTAGATACATTTACAGCCATTTTATTGTCATCATACCAGCGAAAAATATCTTGTAAAACCGTATTAAGTTTTTGACTGATACAACTTTTGTTTTGTCCAATGACTGATATGGTGCTATCATCAGCAAATAAATCGGTGTTATGATTAGGATTAGACAAAGGAAGATCATTTATAAAAATTAAAAACAACACAGGTCCTAAAACGGATCCTTGAGGTACACCCGTTTTTTGTTTTTGTAAGTCTGAAAATGTATTTGAAATAGATACCATCTGATATCTGTCAGCCAAATATGATGTAAACCATCGTAACGAAGTATAAGCAAATTTGTATTTGTTTAATTTTTGAATAAGCAGTTCATGATTGAGAAGATCAAAGGCTTTTGCTAGATCTAGAAACACTGCCCCAACAAGATTGCCATCATCAATGGCTTTAAGCCATTTATCCAATAAAGCTGTTAACGCAGTTTGACAAGAATGGTTCACGCGAAAGCCTGACTGCATTCTATAAAATAAGTTGTATTTATTAAGATACTTTACTAAGTGTGTTTTCACATGTTTTTCGAGGATTTTAGAAATGAGTGGTAAAATTACAATTGGTCTGTAATTAAAAACATCCTGTTTTGAAACGTTGTTCTTATAAAATGGTATGACTTTTGCAAGTTTAAATGAAGATGGAAAAATACATTTTTTAATTCTTAAGTTAAAAATATGACAAAGTGGTAGTGAAATAGCATGAGAAGACATCTTTAAAAACTTTGCACTTATGTTATCAAGACCTGTTGCTTTTGATTCATCTAGTGCTTTTAGTTGTAAACACACAAAATCATTACTCATAAGTGGTATAGAAAAATACACGTTATCTGGTACATGACCCGATATGAAATCATCAAGTTTGTTAAAGGAACTATTGTTGCTGTTTTGATTTATATTAAGATTATCTGTGATATTTGTGAAATAAGCATTAAATACATCAGCAACGCTTTTTCGGTTCTAAAATTTCCTTTTTGTTACAATCACTAATGATTTTAATACTGGTATGATTGTCGGTTCCGTTGACAGTATGTAGGTGCTTCCATAATTTACTACTGTTTCCCTTTTTCTGTTCTATGATATTGGTATAATAATTTTGTTTAGAGTTTTCGATGAGATATTTGACTTTGTTTCTCCAGAATCTATAACTATACATATCTTTTTTCTTATGATAAAAATCACGTTTTCTCATGCTATCTAGAATTTCATCATTCATCCACTCATTTTGATACAAACGTTTTACTCTCTTTTTAATGAGTGGAGCATGATGATTTAATACTTCAGTAAAAATATTTAAAAATGACAACAATGCTTCTTCGGGGTCATCAATTTCTAAAACACTATCAAATGAACACTGTGATATTTGATTGATAAAATCATTTTCATTAAAAGGTTTAGTAGATCTGAACGTAATATATTCATGAATTTTCTTTTTCGATTTTAACCCTCTTTTGTGAGAAATGCATACTGGATAATGGTCACTGATAGAATACTTTGGAACAGAAAAAAAAAAAATGAATATTATCTGGTTCATTACTATAAATATGGTCTACCAAAGTGGAAGATGTTTGTGTGACTCGAGAGGGAACTGAGACTATTTGAGACAAGTTAAAAATGTTTTTCAAATGGGACCATTTAGCTGGAATTTTTCTCGACGCCAAATCAATATTTAAGTCACCCAAAATAATAATTTCCGTATCTTTAATATCAACATTTGTTAACATTGATTCAAATTTTGTAATCCACTCTGCATTACTATTTGGTGGTCTATATATGTTACCAAGTAATATAGGTTTTTGATGAACAAAAATAATTTCCACCCACATTGATTCTATATCATCCTTTTCCAAATCATATCGTCTAATTGTGGTTAACATGTTAGAAATATAAATTAAAAACCCACCCCCAGATTTTCCAATTCTGTCTTTTCTGTTTGTATCATAACCTTTAATATCTATTTCTTTATTTTGGACAGAATTTGACAAAAAATGTTTCACACAAACACAGCACATCTGTGTTAGATTTTGATAGCAAATATTTAATTTCAGAAAACTTTGGCAATATATGATTTATGTTTAAGTGACATATATAAAGTGACTTTTGTGGAAATATAAAAGGGTTTATAAAAGGAGATGATTTGGGGTTAGATAATAGAATATGTGTTGCAGTACATAAATACAAAATAACAATACTGACAAGATTTCCCAAAATGAAGTTACATTTTCTGGTAGGAGAAAGGTTATTGTGAAAATCCTTTACCTCCAGTACGCTTGACTGAACACATTTTGTTGTTGAGTTGTTGAGTTGTTGTGTTGAATGGTATACATCTCCTCCCTGTTGACCTCACCGATTGAAAATTTGATTGAGTTTTTGATGTACAATCCGACAAATTAAGCAACGTGTTCACGCACGAGATAATGTTATGACTTAAAACTTTGGCACTAGCAACATTTGTATGAACATGGTCTGCAAATAAAGTAAGATTGGGCTGGTCTCCATATAGAAAGTCTAAAGTATTGTCTAGAATTTCCACATGTTGTTCCTCTAGAGATAAAAGACGGTTGTTGATATCATAAATTGTACGGTTAGCTTGATAATGAGTTGGCCTTGGTAAGATTGAGGAAATTACCAGCTTAATTCTTGGTAAGCTCTGTCTAACTGTACAAATTAAATTTCGATAGTCGTCAATTATAGCAGGAACAGAGTCTCCATCTGATACGTTGTTAGTGCCCACATGAACAACAATGACATCTACATAATCAAGTTTGCCTTCTGAGATGTACTGAATTAGGCAATCTTCAATGTCTCTGATTCGTCCTCCCCGAATAGTCTTTACTTTAGTTTTGATATGTTCAGTTGACATTTTCCTTGGAGACATTTTTTTGAGAGTTGAACTCCCAACAAGAAATAAGTTTTTCTTCTCACTAGAACGAAGAAAATGCGGATAAGTAGAGTTGACTTCACGGTCCGTGTATTTTGTATTTATTTGTGACCTTTGTCTTTCTATATAAGTAGGATTGTGCGTATCATGGTGGTTCCCGAGATTTGTCCTATTTAAAGTAAATGGCTTATTAGAGCTACTTGGAAATCCACTTTTAACAGCGTTGCTGTATGTTCCAGGTGTAGTTTTATTTGTAGCAGAATTTCTTTCCTCTCTTTTTCTATTTGGTGTTTCTGTCACGGTTTCTGGTAATACGTTGACGTGAGATGATTTTAAATTAACAGATTTAATCTCATTAGAAACGGCATTTAATTTGTCCCACAAGCTGTTTGAATTATTTACAAATGCCTTATTGTTTATCTCGATTTCCGATTTAATGAGTTGTGTTTCTGTAAAGACTTCTTGAACGGAGGTTAAAGCTGAATTGGTTTGAGTTTTAACCGTGTTTGCTAATGATGCAAATTTGTCTTTAATCTCCTGAAACTGACTGTTTGACGAGTCAATATGACAGTTAAGGGCATCATTTAAGTTTAAAACTTCCTCAGATGTTGACAGTAAAAGACTTTCAATTCTCCTGAGTGCTGACATTGTACAGAAAGACGGAGATTTTGCCTTAATACTAGTTTTGCGTACTAGTTTATTGTTACTTGGAAGCGGGGTTGCTACCTTCATTGGTATAGTTTCCTCTTCATCGTCGTTCCATTCAATGTTGTTACACACATTCACGGTACTCTGGTTATTTGCTTGAACGGTGTTTCCAGACGATGCTTTTATATTCAACGCAAGTTTTGCGAGTTTATCGGCTTCAATATGACCGATTTCAGAATCACGAGCAATGTGCACCCATGATACGTTTATATTCGATAACAAATTATCTATTTCTGACCAGAGCTCCTTGTTTTTCACATCTTTTCCGGAAGATTTAAGTTTCCAGTTGTTGCTTTTCCAATAAACAATGTCATTTGTTATACCTCTAACTAAATATTCACTGTCTGTTTTAATGTTAATGTTTGATATTTGATTATCGTGTATTTGTTGAAGGCATTTTACGGCAGCATACAGTTCCCCAGTATTGTTTGTTTGCTTGTAAGATTCAGGAACTGGTCCATTTATATTATTGATGTTATTTGGTTCCCAAAATATACCATAACTGGCCTTTGCCAATGGCTTGCCGTTATTCTTGCAAGCTCCATCAATGTATACTTCCATTTTTAAATGTCCGTACAGTTCAGGAAAACGTTAACGTTGTTTTCGCGGGCTTTTCTGATATGACGTGATGGACATGGTTTTGATTTATAAATATCGTTTTTTTTTGTGTTTTGTTACAATAAAAATGTTAATAGTAATAACAAATTGAAATAATTGGCCATACAGTTATACATTTTGAAGTCTATCAAACAGTAAATCCATCGTAAATCACGAATCGAGTTTTTCTTAAAAAAAAACAACATCCACAACGGATCACAGCAACTCGTCTCAAATGTAGAATACAATATAAAAGTGTCCAGAAATGACAAATAACTTCGAACAATGTTAGTAGATGCTTTAGAAAGTAATTTCAACACTTTAAAAGTCCTATGATCACCGGGAATAAATAAAAATCCTGCATTGAAGGATCGTGAAATTTTTAGGCAGCCATTAGACCTTCGTGACGTCATTTGAGTTGTTTTTATGCTAAATATACAAATATTAAAATTATTCTAGTGCATCATGTCCGTTCCTATCAATATTTCTGTTTAAAAAAACAAGAGAAGGCTGACACCAAAAGAATCAATAAAAATTCAAAGTTAAGAAAGTGGATAAAAAAACAACAACAGCAACACCATGACAAAGTACATAAATAACTAGAGTTGTTTGTATAGTGTGACTTATACCCCTGTAGATGCATTTGAGTTGCTCATCTCGCTAACTTAACTGCTTATTATAAGAATACTCGGACTCTCTAACGACAAAACGACAAAACGACAAACAGCAGTCTTCAAAACATTACATAGAAAACTAAATACTGAGCAACATAAACCCCACAAACAGGAGGGGTAATATTGCTCATTCGGGACGATGAGCAGATGTTTTTAAATTTTCTAGAACTAATAGATTCCGTTCTATTTCAAAACAGCGTTTATTTTAACATCACATTAACCAATGTTGTCCTGATATGTATGTAATATTTGCCACTGTAAGTTAAATTTATTGATTGATTGATAGGTGCTTAACGTCACTTTCAACTTCAATTGTGCTTTTTCGTGGCGGTCAGTTTTTTAATTGGAGGACGAAACCGGAGTCCCGGGAGAAAACCACCGACCTTTGGTAGGAAAACTGACAATCCTAATCAATTAAGTTTGGAGTCGAGTGCACCCGCACGAGCGGGGTTCGAACTCACAACCTCAGTATTGACTGGCTAGTGATAACAGTAGTTGAACTACTTAGATCACTCAGCCACCGAGGCCCCTGTAAGTTAAACATCGTCAGAATATACCTTTGAGTTATTTTATAATTATTTGAGTGTACAACACAACAATTTTAAATTGCTGATACATGTTCTTAGGCTATATATACAAAAAAGAGGCGAAAAATACCAAAGGGACATTCAAAAGTCTAAATTAAACTGACAACGCTATGGCACAAAATAAAAAATATTCGTACATAGAAGAAAATGTCGAATTTAGTTGTAAGACATTGGCAATCGAAAAGAAAAACGAGATTTGCCGAGCTTTTCTCTTATTTCATAGCGTAGATTTCGACTACTGAACATATTGCTAGCTTAGCCGCTAAATAGATCTAGAAAATTATTGCTATCTAGAGAATCCAACATGGCGTCGGATAGGTTGGTTATAATGACGTCAATTGGATAGCCTAGCTACATACCATATCGTTCAACATAGATAGATATCTAAGACATAGCGGCTATACTAGCTGCTACAATATAGAACGCAACCCTGGCAGAATATAGTTGTGACGCAAATAATAATTGGAATTTAACTGTAATTCATAATATACACAGGATACCAGGGTTGCGTTCAGTATCGTAGCTGCTACGTAGCGCTGCCTAGATTTTGGCTATTGAACGTATAGCTAGCCTAGCCGCTAAATCGATCTAGATAGCCCCAAAAATGCATGCTATCTAGATAATCCAAAATGGCGTCGGAAAGATTATTGCTAATGACGTCATTTTGATACTGTAAATTCAAAAATTTTTGATACTGTAAATTCAAAAATTATTGCGAGGTTTTTATTAATGCGAATAATGCGACTACTTGAGTATCGAAATAATAAGAACTCGCATTCTAATATCAATTACATGTATCTGTATGTAGTTTTTCTTAAGATCGCAATAATTAAACTCGCATTTTTGTTGATTCTTCACAAATCTCAATAATAAATGCACGAAATAATTTCTGAATTTTTATAGTAGGCTAGCTACGTAGCATATCGTTCAACATAGATAGGTATCTAATACAAAGCGGCTATACTAGCTACTACGATATTGAACGAAACCAGGAGACTATATACGTATACAATATCGCTTTCTGTAATCTGTACACCTTTATTTGTAAACAAGTCTAAATTGAAAACAACGTTCAAACCTGTGATTGCGTTGGATAAAAACCGCAATTTTTATGCGTGTGCATGCAAAAAAAATTTCTTGTTAGAGGGGTCTAAATACAGCACAAACAACATTTTCCAAAAGACCAAAAAAGTGAAAAAGTATATCTAAACAAAACGCATTTGACTAACAGGTCGAACAACAAATGTTCTTAAACCCTGCTGACTGCCATTGGCGATTGCCAAATAAACGGATCACCGATGTAATAAATGGATCTTAATTATAAATTTCATACTAAACAGAAAACAATAAACTTGCGGAAAAGATGATATACCGCAAACAAAAGGTGCCAAGGGTTTTGTACATTAATCCGGATTTCGACAATTAATGTCTCTTCAGTGATGTTAGGAATCGAAACGGTATTTGGAAGGCCATATAATTTACCTCAATTTAGGATAGACTCTTGAATTTTGAAAGAGTCGAAATAGGATGAACGGATCATATAAACCCGAAGGCAAATATAATACAAGCCCAAACGAAAAAATATAAACAAGTCTAAATTGAAAACAACGTTCAAACCTATGATTGCGTTGGATAAAAACCGCAATTTTTATACGTGTGCATGCAAAACAAATTTCTTGTTAGAGGGGTCTAAATACAGCACAAACAACATTTTCCAAAAGACCAAAAAAGTGAAAAAGTATATCTAAACAAAACGCATTTGACTTACAGGTCGAACAACAAATGTGCTTAAACCCTGCTGACTGCCATTGGCGATTGCAAAATAAACGGATCACCGATGTAATAAATGGATCTTAATTATAAATTTCATACTAAACAGAAAACAATAAACTTGCGGAAAAGATGATATACCGCAAACAAAAGGTGCAAAGGTTTTTTGTACACCATATCCGGATTTCGACAATTAATGTCTCTTCAGTGATGTTAGGAATCGAAACGGTATTTGGAAGGCTATATAATTTACCTAAATTTAGGATAGACTCTTGAATTTTGAAAGAGTCGAAATAGAATGAACGGATTATATAAACCCGAAGGCAAATATAATACAAGCCCAAACGAAAAAATATAAACAAGTCTAAATTGAAAACAATGTCAAACCTATGATTGCGTTGGATAAAAACCGAAATTTTTATACGTGTGCATGCAAAACAAATTTCTTGTTAGAGGGGTCTAAATGTCGAAATCCGGATATGGTGTACAAAAACCTTTGCACCTTTTGTTTGCGGTATATCATCTTTTCCGCAAGTTTATTGTGTTTTCTGTTTAGTATGAAATTTATAATTAAGATCCATTTATTACATCGGTGATCCGTTTATTTGGCAATCGCCAATGGCAGTCAGCTGGGTTTAAGAACATTTGTTGTTCGACCTGTTAGTCAAATGCGTTTTGTTTAAATATACTTTTTCACCTTTATATGTATATATAGAAGAAAGAGCATTGGGTTATAAGCGTTTTACTTCATACAAAATTTCCTTTAACTAATGTGCATGTTCATCAATTAAAGTTTTATTTCATAAAAATAACCTTTATTTTCTCTTTTTTCAGGAATTGTTGGAGACTGGAAAAACCACTTCACAGTAGCACAAAATGAACAATTTGATGCCCAATATGCTGAAGAGTTTCAGGACAGTTCATACAAATATATGTTTGATTAAAAATTGTGTCATTTGGTCTTTTGTGGAGAGTTGTGTTATTGGCAATCATACCACATCTTCTTATTTTTATATGTCTTGAAATAATAGAATAGAAAATTTTCTACAAATATTTCAATTCGTACTGTTATTGGGTTTTCTTTCATCTGGAAGACTGTTCAGTTAAAGTTATGATCACACAATCGACTAGTCGGTATGACAAGAATTTAGGTCTTATTTTAATTCCACATTCAATGCCTTATTTCACTTTTCTTCCACACATAACTTTTATTGTATAATTTTTAACTATATCAATATTATTATAAAATGTGAATCAAACATCAACAAATGGTACAAAGCCATACTGCAGCACCAGACTCTTTACCAGTTAAATAAGTTGTGTAGTAACATCAATGAGACCGCAATTAAACGATAACAAATACCATACACTTATAGCGGACAGCACATAGTCTTCAACAATATAAAGATGACGATATGACGATCTCTTTAATCGCCCCTATGTATCAGATGTACATATAAATAAAGGCAACAGTTGTATACCGCTGTTCGAAATTCATAAATCGATTGAGAAAAAAAACAAATCCGGGTTACAAACTAAAACTGAGGGAAACACATCATATATAAGAGGAGAACTACGACACAACAGAAACACAACATTAAAATGTAACACACACGGAAACGAACTTTAATATAACAATGGCCATTTTCCTGACTTGGTTCATATCTGTGAACATAGAGCTGAGATAGATTGTTGATTCTATTTTCTGAGTTTATCTGAATAACTATGATTTCAAATGCACTATTTTGATTTAACACAGATCAAGAAAGGGTTCAACTCGTTTTTTCAATCTGCATTTACAATTACACTATCCTTTTAGACATTACTAGTAAGATAAGTTAAGAACATTGGATAGATAGAATAAGTAAGTTTAAAAAAGCTCTTCTGAACTTTCTTCTGAATACGACTTACATTTTCTCTGTAAATATACATTCAATACAAAAGTTACCTTAATGACGAGCGCAGTTCAACGCCACTTTCCATTAAAGGTGCCTTTAAGTTGAAGTATGAAAGAGGGTATGGATGGGTGTTTACAGAATAGAGAATAATGGGCAAAAAATATAAAGAATAGAGAATAATGAGGTGCTAACATATAAAAAATAGAGACAAATGGACAAAACGTATAATGAATAGAGAAAAATGGTATAACAAAATTTAAAGAATACAGAAATGAAGGACCCCCCCCCCCCCTTCTCCCCCTCCATCCAGACCCTCAGGAAAATTTAGTGTTAAACTAGTTTAAACATGATGATCAAACATATATATTATATAACATCTTATAGAACAGTTACACTTCATGGTATTTGTTCGTGGTCTGTGTTATCATTTATGTGTACCGTTGGTTATCATTTTTCTCTCCTTTTTTTTTGAACTCTGATGTCTATTTGTCTTCGAATTTTTAATTTTGAATGTCTTATGCTATTTGTATGATCTTTTCATTTCTAAAATATATTTCGTATTTATTTGATCTCATTTTTGTTGACGTTTCGACATCTCATGCGTGCCTAATGTATGTTAATGTTTTAAGAAAATATTATTTTAAAAAAAGGTGTGAACGGTTGACAGGGTTTGCATATACATGTTTATATCACATTACATTAGGAATTTTATTAAATTTTGTTACAAGGTAAGAAAGATAAATTTTATCTGTGTTGTATTGGCTTTATTTTTCATCAAATAATTAAATTTCTAAAATTCAAAAATTCATTTAAAATTTGTTAGTTTAGATATTTAATCAAATTTTGAAAATACTAAACTTAACGTGCAGTATTGGTTATTTCGCTTTTTGAAAGTTTGATTTTTTGTTTGATTTTTTATTAAGAAATTAACAATAGAAAACGGTCGAAAAGAGAACATATGTATATTTCATTATCGCGTTTGGGGTACCTTTAAAGTGCGAAACGGAATGAAAACGGAACGAAACGAAACAAAACAACACGAAATGTATAAAATAAAACAAGAGACAGACGTTTGTAAGCGGTAAAAAATTGAATAACAAAATAAATATTTCTCAAAAGCGGAGAACTTGTTTCAGAATTAGACTATGATCATTCTTAGTTAGGAATAAAAAGCAAATAAAAAAAAAAAAAATAAAGAGGTTGTATTTTCTCAAATGAGATAACAGTATCCTGAATTTTTTAAGATTGGCTTCTTTTGAAAAACAAGAACACAATTTTAAACATATTGAAAGCTGCATTAAACAGATTAATTTACTTTAAAAAAAATCTCTGACATAAGCTAAGCTTTTCATATAAATCATTCAAAACTATTTGGTTCTCACAATTAATCAAGAAATAACAGCGAATTTCGAATTTATTGGTCGAAATGGACAAAATAAATTCTCCTTTTTCACTATCGTGTTTATTCTACAATTTTGCCCAGACGTCACTTCCTAAAAAAAAGCGCCCATCATTTATGAGTACTGACATGAGTACTGACATCATTTATAACAAACCTTTCTAAAATTGTTTACCTCTAAGAGGGAATCGGGAATAAAGATATGGTCATTGAGGTCCTGTTCCAACCCGCAGTAAAACCCTTGCCAAAGTGGGGCGTCCGTTTGGCTGTGCGGGATGTACAAATATGCAGTCATGTCAGGTCAGAAAGTGGCTTGTATAGAGAGTGCCACGCTCCCTATCCAATACACTCTTATTTTCCAGTGGCAGTCTAAATTTTCCTACCTTCATCCCGAACGGCCCCTAATACAGGACCTAGCTATTGTGTTTTTTTTGTTTTTTTTTTTGTAATGTGTTCTCGTCCTCAACATGCATTGCATATTTGCCACTAGACGTTAGAGAACCAACAATTAATCATCTAAAATTATGTGTATACAAATTTACAAATTTTAAAGAAACTAAAATTCAACTACCTAAGGCAAAAGTGACCTTAGATGGATTTTGCTGATTCTTAGGTCTCTTTTGCTCTTTTAGCTCTTAAACTGTTTCGTTTCTTATACATCATTGGCTTTAAAATAAATTCATCATAGATACCAGGATTGAAAATATTCAAATATTCAGCTTTGCGCGTTCTGGATGAAGTAAATCCAGAAAAGTGCTTCGGACGCATGACATTTATAAAGTGTTGTTTTCCTTTTTTATTGGATACTCCATTCAATTCAAATGTTATTGAAATTGAAAATATTATGAGTCCCTGTACTCGGTTCTAAAGACAGTTTTAAAAAGGACCCAGTGAATTCTTATATATCGTAATACAAGTAATACTGCAAGGTTACTGTAAAATGTTTTCAGTACAGAAAATTAGCAGCAAGACGAAAATGGTTAAAAATTGATCAACATTGTAAAAATTAAACAACAAAATTACCGAACTCCAAGGAAAATTCAAAACGGAAAGTCCCTTAACAATTGGCAAAATCAAAAGCTCAAACACATCAAAAGAATTAATAACAACTGTCATATTACTGACTCGGTACAGGCATTTCCTTATGTAGAAAATGGTGGATTAAACCTGATTTAAAGCAAGCTAAACTTATCACTTGTATGACAGTTTTATGAAAATCCATTATATTGACAACAATGTGTGAACAAAACAAACAGACTAATAGGTAAAAATGTCAAAAATAGGGGTACAGCAGTCAACATTGTGTTATAAACTTAATCACTATAACACAAACAAATATGTCAATAAAGAAAAACAAAATGCGGGTTTTACTTGCTGTGTTGAAGACCCATCGGTTGCCTTCGGCTGTTTTCTGCTCTTTGGTCGGGTTGTTGTTTCTTTGACACATTCCCCATTTCTATTCTCAATTTTATAGACGAATCACATACGAAAAAATGAAATACAAGAATACAAAAAATGACCATAGAACAATAACACGATGGCGGGATGAATAAGTACCGAATCACGCCAAACGGATATATCCAAAAATGGACCAAACAGTAAAGGTTAATAATTAACTAAGACAAATAAAAGAACATGATAACACGTTTTAAAATGAGAAACAACGTCAGTACCTAGAATCTATACATCATGTATTATTTTAAGTGGACAGTGGCGCAGCTGTCCACTTAGCCCATTTGGTTGCGCAGCTGTCCATTTAGCCCATTTGGTTGCGCAAGCTGTCCAGTTAGCCCATTTGGTTGTGTAATGGGATATTTTGGGTTGTACAACTGTCCGCTTAGCCCAATTGGTTACACAACTTATTGTTGGTGAATTAGCTTCCCTTTTATGGATGATTAACCCGTATCGGATTACACAACTGATCACTTAGCTCATATGGTTGTGTATAGGGTGGTAATAAAATAATCTATAACCCAATGAGCTGACGTCATATCAAAGATTTCTTTTATACGCGAATAGATTATAAAGCATTCAATATTTTAGAAGGGAAGAAGATGGGTGTGCGTTTTGTATATGGAGATTTATTAAAAACAAAAGACGTTAATGTAGTCATACATCAGGTGAACTGTCTATGCATTAGATCTCATGGTTTGTCTCGACAGATAGCTGAAAAATTTCCATGGGCCGATATCTATTCCACCCGTAAAGCTGAAAACTGTAGGAATTTAGCTATTTTAGAAGACAGAGGAATTCCCGGAACGATTCGAGTCTTTAAATCCCCACAAGATTTGAATCCAGATATCGTGTGTTTCTTAAGTCAATGGGATTTTGGAACGGTAAATCAAGACTATAGACACATACCTCCATATAAAGATACTAGAGAGAACAGACTACATTGGTTTCGCCAGTGTTTAGAAGAATTGACAACACTTAACATTAAATCTGCTGGAATACCACATAATATCGGTTGTGGATTAGGAGGTGGTGATTGGACTGAATACTATAACATAATTAGTGATTTTGCAAAAAGAACAAACACCGAAATTGAAATTTACATACCTAGCCTTACAAAGGGATGAACGTAGAACCATACTTTATGAATGCTTTCGAATTTAAACCAGTTCATCCTAACATGTCACATTTCATAACCAGAGAACAGACGTATAAAAACTGGCCAACTCAACTCATCCAAAAACCAAACGAATTCATAAAAAATGGATTTTTCTACACCAATATCGGAGATCGCGTGACTTGTTTCTATTGTGATATTACTTTGAAACAATGGACTGAAAGCGATAATGTGGAACATGAACACTTAAAATGGGAACCTAATTGTTTATTTGCAAAAATGGTATCTTGTGAAGTACCCCATTTCAATGTTTTGAGATAAACCTTCATTTTTTTTTAATTCAAATAGTGACGTCACTACTGAGACTATATTAAACCTTATTAAGTTTTGATCTACCATTTTAACATTTACTCTTGTTGAATACAGACGCTATGGATGTTAATCAAGTCGAGAGATATATAAAACACACTATGAACTTCCTATATGCTAGAACTATATTAGAACTTCTAAATGATGTTGTCAGAGAAAATTGTTATGGATGTGAAGTTGACCATCCAAGCCAAGTGAACCATACATGTCTAATGTGGACAAACATTGAACATTTACATACTTATCTAGATCTTACTTTTAACAAAATAGATCAGAGGAACATAGTGAACCAACTTCGGAATCAAGTTGAACTAATGGAACTTCCCGAACATAACAAAACAATTGTGCTTGAACAATTTGAGGACTGGTGTAAAATTCATAAACCTAAACTTGATGATGTGAGGGATACAACCGAAAGACTGCTCTTGCTTGAAAATCGATTTGAATAATTTTAAACATTTGGTGTTTTAAAACAGTCTTGTCAGAATATTTACCATGAACAGACGTATACTTCAAAACTCTGCTTTTATCAAAGCATTGTATTATGCTGAACCTAGAGACAGAAAAGTTTTGATTGAATCTATATCTCGGGACCAGATTGGTGCGATCTCTGACATTGCTTCTAAAATTCTTCAAAGGAGAGTTGTAGTGAACAATATACATAGAGAAAAACTTAAACAGTTTAAACAAACAATACGAGTTTTAGCCAATCCAAGGATAAATGCAAGAAGAAAAATGCGAACTATGTTAGTATTTCATAGAGTGATACCATTACTAGTTAAACCAATTCTTCATTTATTGGATGAACAATAAATACCAATGACTGCATACAACAATTTGTTTTCTATTTATTTTGTATGGTATGTTTTATGATGCATGTATAACTGAAATAAACTATATTATGAAACTTATTTTTTGGGTTGTTGTTCATGGTGATGAATATTTTCTTAAAGATTCACATGATGTATTAATGTTATGATAAAAACACAAAGACTTCACTCTACCACTCATTTTGTGTATTTCTCTCAAGATGAATAAAACAAAAACAGTACATGATTTATTAAGAAAATCATATTATGATTTATCTAAAGTTGGTGCATATTTAGGTCCAGACAAACTTTACAGAGTTTTAAAATCCAAAGGTATATCGGGTATTGGAAAACACAAAATTCGAAAATGGCTTCACAATCAAGACAGTTATAGTCTGAGAAAGGAACTAAGACGACGCTTCACCAGAACTCGAGTCATTGTGTCAGGAATACATGATCAGTTCGATATGGATTTGATTGATGTATCCAATATAAAAAGCCAAAACTCAGGTGTGAATTTCCTGCTTGTGGTAATTGACATCTTCTCCAAGTATACTTGGATTGAGACTCTGAAAAATAAAACAGCGAAAGAAGTTGTAGCTGCATTAAAAAAAAATACTTAAGCATATTTCATTTAGAAAATGTAGGTCTGACAAAGGATCAGAGTTCAACAACAAAATAATGAAAGCCTATCTAAAAAGCAAAAACATTTACTATTTTACCACATAAAATTCCGAAACGAAAGCTAATTTTGCTGAAAGAGTAATTAAAACCATAAAAAATATGTTGTATCGTTATTTCACGAAACAAAGAACACATCGATATATCAATGTGCTACAAGATCTTGTCAAGACCTATAATTCAACACCTCATAGAAGCCTCAACAACATCGCTCCAAAGGATGTAAACAATGAAAATGAGGCTGACATATGGGCTTTCATGTATTTGAAACCTAAAAAACCTACGAAACCTAAAAAATTTAATTTTAAAGTGAACGATACAGTCAGACTCTCTAAAATTTATAAAGTATTCGATCGGTCTTATGATGAACATTTCACCAGAGAAATTTTTAAAATAAGAAAACGATTTCGAATGCAATCTATTCCAGTCTATAAAATTTCCGAATTTGATAATTCTGCCGTCTCGGGATTGTTTTATGAACAAGAAATGACAAAAGTTAATAAAGATGAAAACTCTATGTGGTATATTGAAAAGAAAATTAGAAAGCGTAAGCGAAATGGACTGATTCAGTGGTTAGTGAAATTTGAAGGTTGGCCAGATAAATATAATCAATGGATTGATGAGGATGTCATCAAAGAACCAAAGACCAACATCAAGTAAAGATGAGCATTTACGTTACCATGAGTAGTGATAAATCTTTAGAATATTTTCCTAATAACAAAGCTTTCAAGTTTAAAACGAATTTAAATGCACCACTTCTACTTGAGGGAGTTTGGAGAGTTGCTTTGATTGATGCAGACATAGTAAGCAGTACGTCAAGAACAGATGCAATTTACCTGTATTCGAGTATTTGTGGCGAATCAATTGTTGAAGGTGAGAAGAAACCACTCCTACGCAGATTACCACCTACCACTAGAGGAAATTGGTCTACCAGTATCGAAGCTCCTCACTACGTTTCTGTAAAAAGCAACAATATGTATGACATTGATATTTATATAACTAACAATCAAGATGATTTAGCTTCATTTTTAGATCAACCTTCAACTGTAACACTCCATTTTAAGTCATTCCCATTTTTCTAAAAAATGAATGTTAATAAAATGTACATTCCTGACACACAAAAATGGATTCAGTTTTATAAAAATGTAGGAACAAGTGGGCATAATCCATACATCAAGTATGCCAACAAATCAGAGAAACAATTAGGAGGTGGATAACTGATAGGAAGTCCTCGTCAGTTCATAACACCAATAAGTCCACCCCAAAAAGGCGAACATGATCAAAATGTGACAGTAAAATTAGTCTCACCAGTTCAACAATCTACGAATCAGGCCAAAGATGAAGTAAAAAGAGAAAATATTAAACAGGAGATAAAAAGAAAAAGATTACAAAATATTACCAGTCCTACAAGGAAACGTTCAAGGAAGCAGACGCGAAAAGTGAAAAAGAGTAAGAAAAACTCATCTGTAAAAAGACTCAAGAAATTAAAAAAGAAGAGTCATAAAAAACAAACTAAAGGAAAAAATAAAAAGACCTTGAAAAAAGAAAAGAAAAAACTATTGAAGTCTTCATTTAAGGACATTTTTGCTTAACCATGGCAGCTTTAACTACAGAAGGATTTCAGGCAGCACAACCCAGTGGGTTAGACTTATTTAGTCTCCCCCCTACTCAAACAGCTGTTTCTAGTATGTACTATGATGAACAGAGATCCACTTCACAATTAACAGGAAATGCCCCCATAGAATTTTCTATTGCGGCTCAAAATTCTTTAGAATATATAGACCTGAAAAGAAGCAAACTGTACTTAAGAGTCCGCATTAAACATGGCGATGGTTCATCTTTAAAAGCTACCGAATATGTGGGACCTGTAAACCTCTTTCTACAGTCATTGTTTAGTCAAGTAGACGTAACCATACAAAACAAGTTAGTTACTTCAACAACAACACACTATCCATATAAATCAATGATTCAAACACTACTTTCATATGGATCGGATGCTAAGAAATCTCAGCTTACTAGTCAATTGTGGATAAAAGATAAAACTGGACATTATGATGACAATGATGTTAAAAATGGAACCAATAGTTCACTATACAATCGATCACTCTATTTGACAGAGTCACAGACATGTGATTTAGAAGGCCCCCTTCTACATGACCTTTTTAATTTGGATAGGTATATTGTGAATGGAGTCGCCATTAATGTCAAACTGTATCGTTCTAGATCAGAATTTTGCCTTTTAACAAATGAAGCAAACCCAAATTTTGAGGTGGTTATTGAAGATATTGCGTTGAAAGTGTGTAAACTCCAAGTTAATCCATCTATTATTACAGCACATGCAGAAAAACTAAAATCAACTAATGCAAAATATCCATTCACGAGAACAGAGGTACGACTAATTTCCATCCCAGGTGGTAGTTTAAGTTTCAACTATAACAACTTATTCAATGGGTTAAGACCTACCCGAGTAGTAATTGGATTCGTAGATTCTGCAGCAGCTGCTGGAAGTTACACTCTCAATCCATTCAACTTTCAACACTTCAATTTGAGTCAGCTGGCTCTCAAACTAAATCAGGTTCCGGTGTCTGGAAATATAATGCAATTGAATTATGATGCACCAGGACGTGCAACTTTGCCCGCATTCACAAGCATGTTTGAAGTGACAAATAAATGGATGCGAGATAGTGGTAACTCATTAAATAGGGACGACATAGCAGGTGGTAATGCCTTATATTGTTTCGACGTTGAACCCAATTTTAGTGATGAAGGCCATTACCTTAATCTTTTAAAACAAGGAACATGCTCCATTGAAGCAGTTTTTAAGAAACCATTGAAAAAGGCAACAGCTTGTGTTGTCTACGCAGAGTATCCTAGTTATTTTGAAATAAATCTGGAAAGAGGAATTATCTTAGAATGAACACATTTCAACTACAATGTGTGATTGATTGTGATCCTGAAATGAAAAAACATATTAGTGGTGTATATGCAGCTGATGAAATACCTCATATAATATGGAAACCTTCAACTGGATTCATCGCCAATACAGACCCAATTTATCACCCTGGTCAACATTGGATTGCCTTTTATTTTAATGAAAATGGAATTATGGAATGTTTTGACTCTTACGGAAATTCTCCAGATAATTTTTCTCCGTATTTCAAACAATTTATGATGAACTATTCAAGAATTGAAGTGAATAAGAAAAGACTCCAGAGTAATGATACAACTGTATGTGGACAATACTGTTTGTTTTACTTGATGTGTCGAACTAGAGGATATTCTATGCACCAGATTACAGATTTCTTCAATCCAGACTTTCATTTAAATGATCAATTTGTATATAAATTCATTGATGAACGATTTTCTTGTTGTATATCATCTACTAGAAATAAATATCAAAAATGTTTGTGTGAAAAATAAATATTTTACTTACTTGTGTCGTTCTTTGTTTTTGTACCTGAAAGTATAAAATAGGAATAAATATTGTAAAAACATTCATTTTACAATTAGCTTTTATAGAGAATGGATGATTGGTGGAACAAGGAAAGCCTACTTAAGTTTCAAAGTCCAACTTCTATCTTTATTGTTGGCCCATCCAATTCAGGAAAAACTGTATACACAAAAAATATCCTAGAAAATGCAAATGGCATGTTTCAAATACCACCATCTAAGATATTTTATTGCTATAGTATTTAGCAAACTATTTATGAAGACATGAAGTCCTCCATCGCAAACATTGAATTTCACAAGGGTTTTCCCACTATGGAAGTGTTATCTGAATGGGGTGCTCTACAAGGTCACAAACTTCTAGTACTAGATGATCTTATGTTGGAAGCAGCAGACAGCACAGAATTGATACATTTATTAACAGCTGGAGTTCACCACTTTTCCATTTCATTGATCTTTATTTTTCAATCCCTTTATTTTAAAGGTAAAGCCATGAGAACTGCTTCTTTGAATTGTCATTATTTCATTTTATTTCGAAATTATCGCGATCAACTACAAGTTCAAACATTTGGGAAACAGATATTTCCAGGACAATTAAAATATTTCATGGATGCATACCAAAAGGCGAAAAAAATTAGATATCGTCCATTTACCATAGATTTAAATCCACATACAGACAAAACTTATCAGTTGACTACTGATCGTAGAGTTGGTCAGACACCTATTGTTTATCAGCCTTCAGAATGAACCAAAAACATGATCAAATACATTTAGTACAGTTTCTACTGGATATAAAGCAAAAACAGATTTCTCCTATAATCAAAATACTAACAAAAAAACAATTGCAAACGATCATTGAAATAATTTATAATGTTGTTCAAGGTGTTTGTACCATTTCTGATTCAAATAAAAGTATAATATCAAAGTATAAACACCTCATACGTAAACTAGTCTCCAAAAGATCAACACTTATACAAAGAAAAAATCTTTTATTAAAGATAAGACGTATTCTTCCAAAATTGGGTTGAAGGAGGAAATAAATCAAATAGTAGATGAAAAAAGTGGAATGAAGGAGGAAAACAAAGTAAAACCAACTATAGAGTTGATAAAAAATGAAAACCTTGAGAGAAAAATTGATTATAAGAAGTCGCAACCTAAAGAGGTTCAATCAATAAAAAATCAAAGAAAATCAAAGAAAAATAGTACATCTCAGCAAAATGGTGGTGGTGGAAAATTATATGTAAACATGAAGCCAAAACAATTTTTCTATCGTGAAAATAAAAATAAAAAACATACCTCGAAAAATAAATGGTTGTCATTCCCATTTTAGTAATCCAGAGAACCATCAGCCTGTGAAAAAAGAAAGCAAAAAAAAAAAAATGATGACGTCATCAGTTTAGAATGTTAACTTTTATATAAAAACGACTTAGAAGTCTTAATCATTAATCAGTATAAGATGAAACCTTCAACTTAACACCATGGCACAATCATTTATTAACCATGTATTATCAAATGGGAATAATCCTATAGAAAATCAAATTCGTGAACTAAGAAGTGAATATGCTACTAACATTGAATTTTCCGACTGCGATGAACAACAATTATTAAAAGCAGCTGATGAAATTGAAAATAACTTTTATCGAAAGAGAAAACTAGAGGATTTCAACAACAAGAATAATAAGAAATCCAAGGAAGATCATCAGTTCATGTGTGATCTCTGTGATAAAGTGTACAGACGCAAGAACACATTAACGCGACACTTAAGGTCACATTTCACAACTTTTTCTTGTGAAAATTGCAACGAATCCTTTAAATACAAATCTCCTTTGAAGAAACATAAAGTATCCTGTGGAAAAGCTAAAACGAAGAAATCGTCTCAACAAATGCAACCATCTACTTTCAATAACAAGGGACATACCTGCAATCATTGTGGAATACCTTTTACAGATTACGATTCCCTGTACCATCATGTTGCTTCAAATCATCCATTAAACCAATCTGGAGGTGACCTTCCAAAATCAGCTACACAAAGTACTCCCATATCTTCAACGAGTAGTAAAAACAGATATCGCTTTAGAAAAAGTGCAGTAAATAATGCGGTGAATCAAGTGAATATTATTCCTCATGATGATGAAAAGTATGATCTGTTACAATTTTCAGCAAATGTTAAAAAAGATGTAGAAAAAGAATTGGTTGTACAACACGGACAACAACGTAGTATTAAATGGTATATAAATGCAAGAGTTGAAATGGTTCGTGATGTTGATAATGAAGGCCAAGAAAAGGCTCATCCACATTTTCGTAGTAAAGTTTATACTTCATTGATAAATGAAAACAGCGAACATAACTTAAACGAAGCTTTTCAAGCCGTAAATCGAGCTATGGAAGAATTCATAAACAAAGGATCTAACTGGATTTTAAACAAAGTTTTAAGTCTAGAAGTAAACACTGTACCGTACTCACCAATTGCAGGTTCTAGTTACATGGATCTACCCAGAAAAATCAGATTAACTGGTGGTATAGTCAACATCAGGAACGATGACCAGCGTTGTTTCCTCTATAGTATTCTAGCCGCATTACACGAAGCACCTAATCATCCAGAACGCGTTTCACATTACCATCAATACGAAAATGAACTTAACATGAATGGTATTGATTATCCAGTCTCCTTGTCAAAAGTAGAGAAATTTGAAAAACAGAATAACATTTCTGTCAATGTGTTTGGATTTGAAGAGGGGGAAGTATTTCCGCTATATCTGTCAAAATTAGAGAATGGATGCAAAGAGGTGGACTTGCTTTATCTGTCAAATGAGAATCAAAGCCACTATTGCCTGATCAAGAATTTAGATCGTTTCCTGGGATCGATGACAAGATTTCACTCTAAAAGGTTTTACTGTAGACGATGCTTACATGGTTACATTAGGTGTGATTTGTTAGTAGAACACAAACTATATTGTAACAAGTTTGACTTTCAAAAGGTAACTTACCCCAAAAAAGGAAAAGACGATATTTTGGAATTTAAAGACCATGGGAAAATGTTACGCGTTCCCTTCGTCATTTATGCGGACTTTGAATGTTATGCTAAAAAAATAGATACATGTCTACCTAACCCAACCAATCCTTCAACCACTCATCAAACAAAATTCGAAGCTTGTGGCTATTCATATATTATCATAAGTTCCAATGATAAATATACAAAACCTGCTGAGGTATATCGAGGGGGTGATGCCGTAAAACATTTTTTTGAGGACATATTGAAAGAAGAGGAATACATTTCTGAAAAACTCAGTGTGATAGAACCTCTAATCATGAATGAGACTACTGAAAAGGCTTTTCAAAATGCAACCCATTGCTTCCTTTGTAAAAAGCCTTTTACAGACAAATTTATAAAGGTGAGAGATCACGATCACCTAGGAGTTGATGGAGACGTTGATTCACCGGATTATTCTAACTATCGTGGTGCTGCACATGTGAATTGCAACCTGAATTTGCAAATGCCTAAGCATTTCATCCCAGTCTATTTTCACAACTTACGTAATTTTGATGCGCATTTGCTACTCAGTGAAGCGGGGAAATATAAGGACAAAAAATTGACTTGCATACCCAACAACATGGAGAAGTACATTTCGTTCTCATTGGGAAAATTACGATTTTTGGATACATATCAATGCATGACCAGTTCCTTAGAATCCTTGGTTGATAATTTAGCTGTGGATGGGTTGAAACATTTTAAACAATTTCAGAAAGCTTTCCCAAATGCTGAAATAGCTAAACTCCTACTACAGAAAAACGAATACTGTTACGACTACATTGACTGTGAAGAAAAGTTCAATGAAACTGAATTACCTTCAAAAGAAGCTTTCTACAACTCTTTAACCAAAGAACATATCTCTGATGAAAAGTATAAACATGCCCAAACTGTGTGGGACTCACTCCATATAAAAAATTTAGGGGAATTTCATGACTTGTATGTTCTTACAGATACATTACTATTATGTGATGTATTTGAACGATTTAGAGACATGACCTTAGAAAATTATAAACTGGATGCCAGTCATTTTTATACCAGTCCAGGATTAGCATGGCAATCTGCACTAAAAATGAGTGGCGTCTGTTTAGATTTAATCACCGACCCTCTTATGTACAATATGATTGAAATCGGAACGCGCGGCGGAGTCAGTATGGTCACCAAAAAATACAGTCGAGGCAATCATGAATATCTGAATGATTTCGATGAATCCAAAGAGAAAAATCACATCATGTACCTAGACGCTAATAACCTCTACGGATGGGCCATGTCTCAACCATTACCCACTGGACTCTTGCATTTTCTGTCTGAATAGGAAATACAGAACTTTGAATTGCAAAAAATTGCACCAGATGCCGAAGAAGGCTACATTTTAGAAGTCGACTTAGAATATCCTACACATCTACACGATTTACACAACTGTTATCCTTTAGCACCAGAACATCAGATTGTGGAAGACCAAGACCTGTCACCCTATAGTAAACAACTTTGGGAAAAACTTACTGGAAAAAAACAATCTCGAGTTAAAACAAAAAAACTAATTCCCACCCTGAAGGACAAGAAAAATTATGTAGTACATTACAGAAACCTACAGTTGTATGTGTAACTGGGAATGAAGGTTACCAAAATACGCAGGATCTTAGGATTTCACCAAACGGCATGGTTGAAAACCTACATAGATTTCATTGCCAACATGAGAAAACATGCAAAAAACGATTTTGAAAAAGATTTTTTCAAATTAATGTGTAACAGGTAAACTTTTTGTCTCATATTGAAGATTCAGTGTCAGATAAAAGTGTTTCTTTACTTTTTATAATCTAAAATGGATTAAAATAACATGTGTTTTTTTTTATTACTCTTTTCTTTTCTTATAAATACACATTTTTATTTAAATAATATTAATCAAACCAATGTTGGACTGCGAATATATATATATATATATATATATATATATATTTATATATCAATATGTTTATGTGTTTATAATATTTATACATTCATTTTTACAGTGTGTTTGGTAAATGTTTAGAAAATTTAAGACAAAGAATCTCGATGGCCCTTGTTCATTCTGAGGAAAAACTCAAGAAATGTGTTGCAAAACCATCATTCCAACGATGTCAAATTTTTAATGAAAACTTGGTTGGAGTTCAAAATAAGCAAGTGCACCTGCTTCTAAACAAACCCATCTATGTTGGACAAACAATTTTGGATCTTTCCAAACTGTTAATGTATGAATTCCATTACAAAGTGATGAAGCCAAAGTATGGGGACAACATCAACTTGCTGTTTACTGATACAGGTACATATGCTTATGTACTCTATTTTTTATTTTTATTTTTTTGACTCTTTTAATATTGTTTACAGACAACCTAATTTATGAATTGGCTTCAGTGAATAGAATTTTCATCATAATTAATTTTAAGTTTAATATTCAAAAGTGTTTTCCATTTCAGATTCCCTTTGTTATGAAATAGGGACGGAGAACGTTTATGAAGACATATTCTCCATTCAGGACTTGTTTGACACATCCAACTATGATGAACGTCACCATCTTCATTCCAGTAAAAACAAAAAGGTACCCGGAAAGATGAAAGATGAACTTGGGGGTAAGTCGTCAGTCGAGTTGTTTTTATCGTACATTAATATCAATATTTAGTGAAAAGCTAACATTACTTTGTGTTAAAGCTTACTTAATTTGAATTTTTGTAGATATCATAGCAATTAAATTTATACATGGTTTTTAAATTTACATAATTATCACAAATCTTAACATGAGTGAACTGGTTTTCCAACCATTGATTTTTATTAGGAAATTATTTTAGGATATATTAGGATAACTGAAAATTATCTTTTGTTCGATTAAAATCATTCTTACAATTATTTTTCAGGCATTCCCGTCAAAGAATTCGTTGGTCTAAGACCAAAAATGTATAGCTTGACGTATGATGTTGTTGAAAACAGTACAGACGACGAACAGATCATATCCGCTAAAGAAAAGAAAGTAGCGAAGGGAATTTCGAAGTGTGAAATTAAAAAGACTTTGCGTCATGAAATGTATAAGAACTGTTTGTTTGAGGAAACAAGCACCATCAATTCAATGAGATGTATACGTAGCAAAAATCACGAACTTTATATAGACACAATAGTGAAAAAGGGACTGTGTAGCTTTGATGATAAGCGTTATTGGAAAAATTTCAATGAAAGTTATGCGTTCGGTCACCACAAAATCAAAGAACATTAACTTGAAAATTAAGAAAATAAAACAGATTGTATATTGTATTGATGTAGATATGATTATATGTGATTTTAACAGTAATAAAAAATGTATTTATCGTTTTTCTTACTTTATATTGCTGAGATAGTTTCCTCCCATTGGATAGAAATTAAA